AGATTTAGGCCTCCCTATAGATCGTCAATGTAATAGAATTTCTATCTGTTGATGTTTTTTTTTTCAGACCACGTAAAATTTCTTGTTTATTTCAAATTTTTGTGAAAAATTCCTGAATGTGAAATTTTTAGCATTTCGATGAAAAAAGTTGCTCACAATTCAACCGTGGTCGACGATATTTACATGAAATTACGCTTAAAGAAACAAACAGTAACGAGTGATAATAATTTTACCCAATAATTTCTTTAAGTAAAGCGAAAGGAACAAAAACTATAACTTTACTTTGTGAGTCCGTCAACTAGTTTAAATTAAAACAAATAAATAAAAATTTTGTCACAATAGAATAACATTAATTTAAAATATTTACACATGCAACCTGTTGAGTTTTTGGACAAATAATAATTATAATTATATCATTAACTTAAAACATTTATACATTTATGTATTTTGACACAAATATGGCAAATTAATTTATTTTTAATCACAATCAATGGTTTTTTTGTTTCCTTGTACACAATACAAACTCTTTTGTAAACTTCATATGGTTATTACACGCGTTGTATAATAATGTTTCGAAAAAGCACTAATGCACGTCTACTTAATATATTAACTGTATAATAATCTAAATCCAGTTTAAAAATAAGTTATTTTCGAAGTTTTCATTTTATATTTTTGCTTTACAGTTGTTTCGTTTAAAAAAAAAAACAAAAAAGTAGAAAACCTATATAATATTAAGAATATACTCTAGGGAGTGTTAACACTTAACGGCAGCTCAATAATTTATAAAATCTAAATACATAACATTTAAAAAAAAAAATTCATTTTTTTAATACCAATATTAACTCAAATAATATGTTTGTTAGGTGCCATATTTTAACATTAACAAGCATATAAATATAAAATATATCACCTAATAAAATATAAGTTACTGATTACTATATTTTAAATGTTTTATTTAGGAAAAACTCAAACAAAAAAATCTTCTTTTAAAATGATATACAAAGATAAATTGCCATTAGTTTTGTACAATTTTTATGCCATGTTCTTAAATCATTTAAATTATCCATAATAAGAGTGAATAATTCTTTGTTTTTCGTGATTATTATTTTTTTTTTGGTTAACAATTTTACCATATTACCATTGATTTTGGCATGCAATATATTATTAACTATAATATTTAACAATAAAAGGCAAATTAAGATGAGAACAACACATATCCGATCTTGAAATCATTAAACCAAATCGTAGAATATTAGATAACATCTAGCGAAATAACAGTAGATACACATACCAGTAGACAAATGACAGGTTCAATAGGAAAACATAAAAATCGAAATAATGGCCCTTATTATGAAAAAAATATATCGTACGTATCGTAATAGCAATACTATCAGAAATATCGTGTATCGTATGATATATTTTTTTCATAATAAGGGCCAATAATTTCATATTTAGTTTATGATTTTTTAAAATCAATAAAATATTGGATCATATATCAATTGAACATTTTCATACAATTATATGTTTGCATATTTTAATTTGTTAAATAAAGGTTCGTGAAATAAGGTTCGTGAAATAAGGTTCGTCTTATCACAGAAATAGAGAAGAATAACGTCAAAGAGGCAAAATTGTTTTTAATGAAAATTAAACTATTACAGATGACACTATTAATAAATTAATTTCAAAAGTTTTTTTTAAAATAGTACTACACATAATTTAAGAGCTTCATTATTGAATATTTTTGGAGACACAGTCAATTAAGGTTATAAAGGTGCAATAATTACCCCCTGTACAATATCACCTAATTACTGAGATAATAGCGGCTTTCTAACTACGAGTTTTGCTCGATTTTGAGAGCAAGATTAAATGCATGATCAAAAATATCTGATTTGATATGAAAACAATACTTATCTGATTATAAAGAATGGAATAGGTTTAAAATGAATTTGCTATATTAATTGTATGGAGGAACAAAAATTTCTAAACAATTTTTTTTTTTTTTTGTTTTGTGTTTTCTTATGACAAAAAAGGTCATTTTTGTAGCAGGATTTACCGAAAATGGAAGTCATGTTAATATGAAAATAATATAAAAAAAAAAAAAAATAATTGATCGCGGAAAAAAAAAACCAGAAAACCCTAAACAACAAATGTATGCACGTGTATGTAAAGTGAAATGCGTGCAATGTTAACAAAATATTAACATATTGTGTAGATCTATATTTACATACCAAGTACAATATCTTTAAATAGAAGATAATATAATATAACATTATAAATATATTTATAGAGGATATTGTAAAGGAGAGAAAAATGGATCTTCTGTATACCGCTGGGATGCAAGTTAACGCTTTTTCGTTTTTAATTTTTGATTTACTCATTCTGTATGAGCAGCCAATGATTTAAACGAGATAATTTTTTTTTCTCTTTTTTTTTCTTTTTGTTTTTTTGCATTTTTATCTATATTTGGTAAACATATAATATTTTTATAGTTTGCAAATCTGTGAGAAATTATTATAATCATCATAAATGTACATGTGTATGTATATATAATGAAAATTTAGAAAAAGCTCATAAATAATATTAAGTGAACCAGTATACATTTGTATATAAATATAATGTTTGTTGATAAAGGTGCAAAAAAAACAACGTAGAAACTGAAATAGTTCAAAATAAGGAAGAGGAGGACGAAAACAAAAAAAATAAATAGAGAAAATTTGATAGGTGATAATTTATAAAAAAAAAAAAAAAAACGAAATGCATCTTATGACTTTAAAAAATAGAAAAATTAGGAAAAAAAAAAAATAAAAATTATATTTTTTGATAATCTAAGCATGAGCGGAAGATTAAATATAGTTTCTATTTACTTGAAATATTTGGAAACTGTGAATTTCATATTTTTTGATGAAATTTTCATTTTGTATTTAATTTTTAATCGAATATAATTTTTACATTATAAATTTGTTGCACTATGTAAAAAAACATTTCTTTAGGGAAACGATAGATACTGGGATAAGCTTATAACATTATAAATCTATATTTAGCGAAAATACCTCCATTAAATCAGAGGATCTAAATGTTTTCCAAAATTTTACGTAATTTTTTTTTAATTTTCAAATATAGATACGAGTACCATACACAAACAAAAAGATGCCGTTTACCTTCAAATAAAAAATATAAATATGAACAAATTCAAAAGATTAAGTTTCCACGAAACCTCGTCAAACAAAGATATTTTCGACGCTACCTAGGCAGACAAAACTTAAAAAATGATCATGATTGAGACTAAATATCCCATTATTAATTGAGTAAATGATAAAAATTTGATAATTTTCTAGAAATATATTTTTTAGTGAAAGAAAGAAATAAAAATACTTTCGTCGTCTTCGTATTTCATGTTAATTGCAGTACCAGCAATTCCATCTATAATATCAGAACTTACATTTGTTGTGAGAACTAAAATACAAACGATAACCGAGTACCACAAATTGGTTTGATTTTTTTTGTATAATTAAACTGTTGAATTTAAAATTCAACAGTTCAAACTTTTATATAAAAAATACAATAAAAGTTATTGGAGGTGTAAACTTTTCCATACTATTTTAATTTTTTAAACAAATTTTTTTTTTGTTGTTTGTGAGTATTTTTATAATAAAAACGAAAAAAAGAAGCATTCAATTATACATCCAACATTTTCGTGCCTATTTATGGATTCAATCATTTTATTCAATTTTTTTAGTGCTATTTTTGCTACTTAACACTTAAAGAGGAGTAACACCAATAAAATAAAAAAATAAGTAAATAAATAATATATAACACGGAAAATATATTTGAATTCAATAAATTCAGTTAAAAAATAAGAGAATAGTTAAAAAAAAAAAAAAAAAAAAATAACCAGTTTTTTTTTTATTTACTACCATTATTTATTACAATAAATTTTCGAGTTTTATTGGAAAAATCGTGCAAAATTTCTCATTTCAATGATTATGCGATGACTATTCACTCTTTAATAATAATGATATAGAATTGATTATTGATGATTGCAATAATGACGATATGAAAATAAATTTTCTATGTCCTTTATTTGAAAAGAACATGCATTCTTAAATTTTCAAAAAAAAACAAAAATTTAATTTACAAACCATTAAATGAAGATTAAACAAATTCATTTTACTTTGTCTTCTATAAAGAAGAGCAATGTTTCAGGAATATTATATAACTTCTATTAATCCACTTTTTGTCTGTGTTCTAATATTGTCATAGTTTTTATTCAAAATCTAAACGCTATTCGGAATATGTGTATACTTCGAAATATGTGTAGCCTTACGATTTTCAGAAACTCCTGATTCATTCTTTTAACCCGATTAAATTCGAATAATTCCGAATAATTAAATCCCGAATTAAATCCGATTTTATTGGTGCACAATTACTTTATAATTGAAACAGTTACTTCTCCCGCAGTATAGTGTTCTTAATTAAAGGAAAAGTAAATAACTAATTAATTAGTAAAAATATTCAGTGAAGAAAATATCAAATTAGACGTCATTCAACTACTAGTATTAAATTCAAGAATTCCTTGAATAATGAGCACACAATTTTATAATAATTCTTACTTCTTATCTGAGTGTCATACTGAAAACTAAGGTCATACTGATAAATATTTGAAAAAATTTAGGTCTGCTTTTTCTAAATCAAAGTATAAACCATTACTTGCCAAATCAAAATTAATTTAATTCTCTATAATTTTTTATTAATCTTGGATTATAGTGTACTCCAATTATTTTGATAAAAAAAAACAGTATTCACCAATAAAGATAAGTATGCAATTGATTAAAGGGTCATAAATCACCTTGCGGCGTTTGTTTACTTTTTCATTCAAAAGAAAAAAAAAATAATCGCTCTGCATGTCGTTTTCATTTAGTGATAGTAAATTAAAAAAAAAATTTCTTTATCAAACTATTTCTCTAATTCATAATACAGTCTATGGAAAACCGTAAGTGACTCAACAGGCAGATAACATTTATTTGCGTATATAAAACTCCACAAAACTAATGATTTCTACTCAGTTTCATTAATCTTCTATGCAATAACTATTAGTGAACAAAATTTACAAAACAAATTAAAAAAAATGAATATTCTATTAATATTTGGAATAATATGTTCAATTCTAGTAGAATTTATTAATGCCGGTTCAGTTTTCGGGAAAACATTTAAAATTTTGCATAATGAACCTCCACCACCTAAATCATTAGGTCGTCATTTAATTCTAAATTCTGTTATAGAACAAAAAGTGGATAATTTTGATCCAAATAATAACGCAACATGGCTAATGAGATACAAAGGGAATCCCGAACATCATAAATCTGGTGGCCCAATTTTTATATTCTTAGGAGGAGAATGGAGTATATCTGATGGTTTCATTACTGCTGGTCATTTTTATGATATGGCAGCCGAAAATAATGCGTACCTATTTTACACAGAACATAGATATTATGGTAAAAGTTTTCCAACAAGGTAAGAAATTAATTTGTTACGATTAAATAATGGAATTTAATAACAAATCTATTTTAATTCGTAAGTGATTTGAGAACCGAAAATTTGAAATATTTGACTGTTGGCCAAGCTTTAGCCGATTTAGCTTATTTTATTAAAGTTCAAAAACAAAAGCCACAATTTAAAGAATCAAAAATTGTAATAGCTGGTGGATCGTATTCAGCTACAATGGTTACATGGTTCCGACAAAAATATCCTGAATTATCTGTTGGAGGTTGGAGTTCAAGTGCACCATTATTTGCAAAAGTTGATTTTATAGGTAAATTACAAAAAAAAATTATTTTTTAAATTTAATTCACTAATCCTTCTTTTGAACTATGTACATTTTTTCATAGAATACCACGAAGTGACGGGAAAAGCAATTAAATTAGTTGGAGGAGAAAATTGTTATAACAGAATTGAAAAAGGTGTAAAGGAATTTGAAATTATGATGGACACCAAACGATATGAAGAATTGAAAACCTTATTTAATATTTGTGATAATTTTAATTCAAATGATAAATATGATGTTATGTCATTATTCACTTCAATTTCTCAAATCGGAGCTGCTTTAGTTCAAGGACATAAGTAAGATGAAAGGGTTTAAATTCAATATTGTAAAGTTTTAAAATATTTTAAACTTGATATTATAAAATTTATAGTAAAGGTAGTATTGAACGAGATTGTGGTGTTATTTTAAGTGGAGAAACAGATGTTGAAGGTATTGCAAAGTGGATTAATTCATATCTTGGAGGAGGTTGTAATGATTTTACATATAAAACATCTGTTAAAGATCTCAGTTATACAGAACTTTCTTCAAATATTTGTAAGTTAAATTCCATAATTTGGATGAATTCAAAATTTGATTTAATGAATAATGAAGAAACAATTGATAGACCGTCAATGGATATACCAAACATGTAATGAATTTGGTTGGTATCAAACATCTGGTTCAACTAATCAACCATTTGGTAAAACATTCCCTGTCGATTTAAGTGAAAAATGGTGTGAAGATGTTTATGGGTAAAATACAATTAATTTTATATTGTTATAGTTTTTGCATTTTGTGCTAATTTCTATTTTAAAATCCTGAAACTTCCAGAATTACAAAAGATCAATTACACAAAAATATAGCAAACACAAATGAAATGTATGGAGGATGGCAACCAAATGTGACAAATGTGTTCTTTACTCATGGGCAATTAGATCCATGGCATCCAATGGGTGTTCATGTTAATGAAGATGGTGAAAATAATATAATACCTTGTAAGTTGGAAAGATGAGATGTTAAAGTACTTTAATTTTTCTATTCATCTATTTCTTCTTTTTTTAGTATACGCACACTGCAAAGATTTTGGTTCAATTCAAGATTCCGATACTGAAGAAATGAAAAACTCAAAAGAGAAATTGAGTAAACTTGTAAAAAAATGGCTGAGTGACAAATAGATATTTTTACAATAAAAATTATTGTGTTAGAAAAAGCATAAAATTTTGTTATTGAGTTTAATACCGTAAATGTTATGGATTCCACAATGTGGAATTCGTAATTTTATGTAAACACAGAAATAATCTTATATTTTTCAAACTCTAAAATATTAAGCAATATATTTTTACTTCAAATTTCAAAGGCAATAATTATAATGTAAAAGCAATTTTCTTTTTTGGTCGCTAAAATAAATCGAAAATAGTAAAAATTTCAACATATTCCACAGCAGTTATTCTTCTTTTTTCTTTTCTTCTTCTTCTTATTGTTCTGCTTGTATAATTCTGGATCTTCACTGCAACAAATTCTGCATTCATATCGGCAAACCCCAACTCTAGAAACTATACCAGATAATCTTGTGTTTTTTTGAAATATTTTTGATTTTATCTTAACAGAATTTTCTTTTTCAGATTTATTCATTATTTGGGATTGTTTTGATTGTTGAAATTAATTTAATAATACATATGCATGTACTCGTATGTATGTATGTATATACATAAAATTTTATTCTTTAATTTGGTGTAAAAAATTTGTTTTTCTGTTTCTAAGTAAAGTTTTTGAAGTTGCTAAATCCCCATTAGAAAATTTATTTCTTCATTTTGTCTAGAACAACTAGTTTTATCGTTATATTTTTATACGTTTTTATATTGTGTTTAAAAAAACAATTGTCTGGAAAACATTTCAAAGAATGCTTAGTTAAAAACACTAATTATGCAAATTTTTAAGCATTTAAGCAAGTTTTCCAAAAAATTTTAAATTCCAAAAGGTAATTGACAAATTCATGAAAGTTTTAATTTCCTATAAAAATAAATCAATATAAACCGAGCTCTCACGTACACAAAAACTAACATCGCAACAGTACAAATTAGGATTGAGAAAAAAGAGATTATTCATCATAAATAATAAGAGTTTTGCTATTCGAAAGCGCAATCACTTGCATTTGAGTAATGTGTCTATAACTTTTGAAGAGCGAAGTAATTACAAACATTGCCTCAACACCAACTTCATTTGTTTAATTTATTAACACGTATAACACTTTTAGAAAATGTTTAACTTCTAAGCTATCACATGGAACCCGTTAACGTAAAGAAGAACAAATTTTTTTCAATTTAATATACTCGTATTTTCTAGATTTTCAGTTTCCTCTATGGGAACTTTCTGTTTTTCAATTGAGTTTTTCTTCTGCCCTTGAGACTTCTTGTCTTTATTTTGCTGACTAGGCTCTATTTCGCAAATGTAACTCTGATTCAAATATGGTATTTCAAATGGCAAATGAACTTTTGGAAGTGATAGTATTGTCAAATATCTTCTATATTTTACCCATTCTTGAGGAGAAAATTTTTTATTTTCAAGAAAAATCATAGAAGAGTCAACCGGTTGTTCTTTTGGTTTTGCTAATTTTCTCGTATGCCTTGTTATTCTATATTTTAATGCGCCACGACTAACACCAACACGCAATTTTGGTTTTCGAGGTTTCGATTTTTTTGAATCAGGAGAATTAATTTTTGGGATGAAAGTTAAAAGTTCTTGTGGTGGTGTTTCATACTTTTTTTGCATTTTTATAGGCTTTGGTTTAGCAAGAAATAGCATTCGTTCTTTATCCAGTTGCTTAGTAAAATCTCCTGCACCTTGTTGAATTTTCTTATTATCTTTTAAATGCTTTTTTCTTTTTAAATCAGTAAATAGAGCAGGATACTTCCCTTTAGGTGCGCCAAATCTTTTTACCCACTTTTTCCAACGTAACCAGTCCGCATTGCTCATAGGACCGCGTTTTTGAAATCTTGTTAATTTTCGTACAAATTTTGGTAATATCAGAACTTTTGGTTTTGAATTTTTCTCAATCCAAGCCAATAAGCGCCTTTGACGAAGTTCATATTTAAAACGGGTAGAATTTTCCGTTAAAATTTCCTGATTTTCGTCTTCCATTTCAAATTGAAAAATAATTTTTTTTTTTTAATGTAAAATAAACTAAAAATTTTGACTTGTTTTGTAGGAAATTCAATTTAATTAGAATGAGGAATTTAAAAAGCAAACTGTGTTTTTATGCTATCTGATCACATTCTTTTTAGTTGCTTCTTTTGTCTATTCGGTGTGAGTATTTCCAATAACAGCTTCCGAATTGTGGGATCTGATTCTGATCACAGTTTGAACAATGTCCAACATTTTGAATTTCCAATAGTAAAAATTATAAATTAATTTAAATGTTCATATATGTAAATATGGAAAGAAATTTTATTCAATTGAAGTGTGCGTAGAGAAATTCAGCTAAAAATATTTAGAATTTCACTTCTTCGTTTTGAAAGAAAAATTAATTTGATTACCTACAATATTCTAGTGTAAATTATAATTAAATGAAAATTTAGAAACGTTCGAATACATACATATTTCGAATTAATTTGAACAAGCGCTATAATGTATAACACTTATTCTAATTTAGACACTAAAATTGTAAACAAAGAAAGTTTTTCAAAATCAAAAATTTTTAAAAATAAAAATTCTATGATAAGGAAATCATATGACGTTAGAAAGAAAAATAAACTTGGAACTGGAAAACATTACTACAATAAAAATCCTAAAATAAAAAATGCAGAAGTAACTTCCTCAAATATAGCTGAACAACGAATAACATTTAACGAATATATTCGTTCTCGTAACAGTTTTACAAAAATAAGACAGCCTTTAACATTAGATTACCGAAAACCCCATAAATCTAAGTTGGATCATTCAAAAAAGCCTCGGTCACTTTATTCAACAAATTACCATAAACAGGTTAATAGAAAAGTTATTTTACCAACGGGGTTAAATGTATTACCAACTAACTCTATTTCGTCAGCCAGACTAATTCGATTACCTAAACAATACACTAATGTAGAAGACTCAAATATGGAACGAAATCTTGATTTTTGGCGACAATTAAGATTTAAGGTACCCAAAAAAGTATTGAAATATCGCATTACGAATCGATTGAAGAAGTTAGCAATACCTAGGAATTATGTTAATAATCAAAAATTAAAGCTGATGGAACAAAATAATTCAAAAGCATCAAAAATTAATCGTATGAGTAGATTGCGCTGGAAAATGCATAAAAAATATTTAAATGAATTTTTGGCACGTCCAAAAAAAATTCCACAACAGAGTAATATTAAAATTTCACGTGGTAAAAAAGTTCATATTAAATATTTAATAAATACAATTAATCGATTATCTGTACCACATAAACTCAAAAAATCGGATACGAGTACAACTATTTCTGAAATTTCATGTAGAAGAAAAAGTTTGCATATAAATAAAATATCGAAACGTATTTCTGAATTGGCAAAACCTAAATCATATAAAAATTTAAATGTATGTGCAGTGGTAAACATCAGAGCTCCAACTTCTAAACAATACGTAAGTCGGGTACGTTTATTATATTTAGCTAAACCCAAAAAAGATTTTCGTGAAGAATTTTTAAAAAAAGAGGAAGACTATTTAAAAGAAAGCAAAAAAAATGAAAGAAAATATATTTTACGAAGAAAACCGTCACAGAAACAGTCAGAAACTAGGTCTAATGAGAAAATTTTAAAAGAAAATCATGAAAAATATAAAGAGTTTCATAATGGGTTAGAAATTTTAGAAAAGTACGTCCAGAAACATAGATTTATATGTCGTACAGAATACCAAAAATATAAAAAGAAACTTAGGCTAGCATATAATTTATTAGAGCGCTTGCATTTCTCAAACTTCAACAGATATGAATGATTTTTTGAATTTTAAAACGAACTTTGTTTTTTTTTTCGTATTTTTTGACTTTAAAGTTATTTTGTTGAATATTTCATCAGAACTTAAATATCGTATTAAATTAATAAAATCATAATTGAGGAGCTCAACTATTGAAATTAGTATCAATATTTCTAAAATTAAAATTTCTTACCATATAATATGCTTATTAATTGTTTCTTTGGATACATATTACATTACTTCTGCAATCTAATCTAATTTTAAAATTATTGCAACATCATGCTATTAAAATAATTGCGAGAAATTTTAAACTTTTTCTTAGAATATGATGAGCTTAGAAGACTTTAATTGACTTCATATTCTACGGCTATATTCTATATTCGGTTTTTCCGTATTATATTAGTGTCTTAATTCTAAATTGTTAAGATTTTAATACTCAAGCAAAAAATTAAACATAAATAGAATGAATGATCAATAATTAGTTCTGATCAAATTTTTTTAAGGATAAGTAATAGAATATTGAAATTGGCGTAATAATTTGTTACTCTATCCATTTATCATAGACTTTTGTCAAAAATTACCAAAAATTTTGTTCTATTACATAATTTTAAATATAATTTTAAAGCTTTTGATAATCTCTAAAAACTGGTTCAATGATGTAAAATATCTCTTTCTGACTATAGTACTATATTACATCTAATAAAAGTTTACAAAATAACTACTTATATTTACGGTGCACGTGTATAATTCAATTCCTATCAAATTGTACATAATTAAATTTAATAACTTAATGTTGTATATTTCAATATTTTACAGTTATAATTATAAATTACAGAGTGATGTTGAACTTAAAATGTTTAATGCTCAATGTTAGTTAATTAGTTAGAGAGGGGAGGCGGCCGTCCCAACACTGCCGCCTAGTACTAGGTCAACATAAGACCCATAAAATGTTCAGATCGCTCACAGGCGCTACCCAGAGCTCCTCCAATCTGCCGAACCGATATCCCAAAGAGCGTTCCCTCCTCCGCATTAGAGCGGGGCACTCGCATAGCACGTGATACACATTCTCCACCTCAATGTTAAACCACATTGTTAAATATTAAATGTTTTCAGTACAAAATAATTTATTTACTCCCAAAATGTTTTTGAATACAGCATTATTTTTATTGCACTTTATATTTTCATGGATTTAAAGGTAATGTACATGATATGTGTAAAATACAACATTTGATAAATTACCGATATTGCATTTCATCATCATATGGTCTTTCTAAAAGAATTCACTCGTAAATTTAACACAATTCCAAAATTAACCTTCATAACTAATAATGAATATCGTTATAGATGAACCACAACTAAACTATCAAATTCCAATTTAATTACCCAAAGTCGTTGAAATAAATTTATGATTGCAGCAACATACTTTTTAGTTGTGGGTGTATATGGCAGGTTTTAAACATATAATTTATGAATCCATGACTTATCCTTTTTTTAGAAAATTAAAAACAAATAAAGGATTCATAAATAATTAATTTATTAGAATGATCGTATACAAATTTTCAAATAAATGTAAAAATAAACCACATTGTCAAGTTTATAATAAAAACAAAAAAAAAATAAGCATAAAATTAAAAAATGGAAAAAATTATAAGACTGAATTTTGTATAGAGATAAAATTTTAAAGAGTTGATAACGTTAATCACGTACTTAATACTTATCACCATTTGTTTATTTATTACATACGAGTATAAACATTTTTTGAGTTCGGATCTACCCATGAAGCCATTATATGTATGTACGAGTACAATAATAATTCTGTGAATAAAAACAGATATTTTTCCAGAATCTCAAAAATAAGAATTTAAATTAAAACAAGCTTATAATTGAAATTAGATAATTTAAAGGACGTCCTATACTTAATTTCAAAATTTTCTTCGTTCCATATTTTCTGCCTGAAACCAATATGATATTATGTACCTAATAATGTAAGTATGTGCTCACTTACTATCACAATAGTAAACAATTAAAATATTACCTACGTATAATTCTATTTCTATAGAAAAGGATACGCCTGTTTTAGTATTCAACAACAAATAATCCAGCGGTTGCATCAGACAATAAAAAAAATAAAAAAATGATAATATAAAAAAAAACTGACACTAAAAAACTAATAAAGCACACATGGAGCCTGACAGCCATAATGAAATTTAATGCCACTTTTATGGTTATTAACGTTTTTCTCTTTTTGTAATTATATCCACACATTTTGTTTGTTATTTTAACACGAGGAGAGTATTCGTAGTATTCGTTTTCAGCGTATATTTATTAGTTGCAGTGAATTATTAATTTAAATTTATTAGAAAAGGATAATTAAAGGATAAGAAAAATTCTTTTTTTTTTCTTCTTTGAGTTTATGTAATTAATCATAGATGTTTTTTATTTTATTTTTTTAAGGATTTTTTAATTTTAAAGACGATTACTATTCTTATACATTACAGATAAATCAAAGGGAACCTCATATAAAGTATTTTATTGTTCATTTCTTGCTTATCATTAGAGAATTCAAAACTATTCGAACATGGACCTGCTGTTCTATCTGAACTGAACTATCATTCAGCATTTATAAATTTCATATTTAGCGCAAGTTAAATAAAATTATTACTACGTAACGCTTACTAGTTTACATCATATTGATTTGACTGTATGTGATTAAGATCGGAACTACCGCTCAGAAATATTTTCGTGGCCGTTTTTATCCAAATCCATGGGAAAAGATGAAATATTTAGATTTTGACAAATAACTACTATTTCGTAGTTTTATTTTGTACCTTCTATTTAATAATAAAAGTAATGAATAGATAAAAGTAATGAATCAGAAATTTATCACATTTTATCAATGCTCTATCAAAATATTAAGGGAAACAACATATGTATCTGTGTTTTAAAACAATCTGTTTCACTCCGGTAAGTCATAAAACTAAAGATCGTTACCGAACCTTTTGTCAATATTTTGTTGAATAAAAATATTAAGGATGCCATTAAACTCTCATTCTAATGTTTAAATAAAACCCAAAAATTAAACGTTGTATTAAAATTCATAATTAATTATGACAAGTTCAATTTCCTTTCAAAATTATTATTAAATTTATTTAAGTTGTACATAATATAAATAATAATATTTTATAGAAATTAAGAAAAAATTAACACAATTACATTTACATTATATAATTTTTTCTATATCGTATACGATAAAACAAATAATTAATAATTGTTAATATTTGTACGATGTAAATGCAGTGTTACAAATTGACAAATTAAAAGAAAAGAAAATTTAAATAAAAATTTATTTTTGATTTTTTAATTCATTTATGAGTGCAAAACATAAAATTCATATAATAAGCAAAGAAATACAATTAAATTTAATGTTCATTAATGAAGTATACATTCAACAGCTTATCGGTCTTATACCTTTAGAGGAGTTTATTTTTTCTTTTTAATAATAATGATTTCATACACAACTGTAGGTAATATTACTAAGAATTTTTAAACCACATTTTCATATTTTTCATTTGTTCCATCTTTTTCCGTTTAAAAAATCGTCTTAAGTTCTTTGTAATTGAATATTTATTTTCTAAAGGGAATAATATTTTTTATTGATTTTCCCAATAAAATTTTTATGTTAATTTCTTAAATATATGTGAGCATATAAATTATAAATGAGTAATAATGTGGTAATAATAAAAAAATTATAATTTTTTAGTAAATTTTTTAAAGTTAATTTAAAAAGTTTATTAGATTTTTTCATGGTTATTATTACTTAACCACAAATCCATAAGATTAATAAATATTATATGTTTAATTTTTTTTGCTATAATTTCACATACCTGGTGTACTTCCTCTTAAAGGACTATCACAGTCAACAATTAAACCTTCATTACTCGAATCATCATTATGTCCACTAAGAAATGATGTTGCTCCAGGTACTAAAATTTCATTGCCAGTTATACAACCATTTCCACTACTACCATTTTGTGATTTTTCACTTAAAGCTGGACTATCAACACCAACATCAATTGATTCATCATCATTACCGCTACCATCAATTTTAATTTTTTTACTTGTAGATTCAACAGACTATAAATATAGTGCGTTTTAAAGGTGTTAAATAAAGCGGGTAGCCCGGGAAATTGAAAATATATATTTTCAATATGAAAAGAAAATAGGAAAAATTGTATTATAATAGTATAAAATGTAGGTACATTACAAATTTAATTTGAAGTCACTGAGTTGTTCAAGTTTTTAATTAAATTATTTGATTTGGGAACACATGTATTTAAATATAACAAAATGACAAATAAAGAAAACAAAATCAAATTATGTAAAATTTATTGAAATTTGGTGAATTTACTGAAATTAGTTTCTGAATTATTTTGGAAATAAATGAACTAACGGACGAATTGACATAGCAAATTTGGCTCATACATGTATATAGGTGCGTGTTCATATTTTCTAACATTATTTCTTAGGCAAATTAGAGCAGTAATTCCATAATACTAACGAATATACAAACATTGTTCGTACGTTAATTAACTAACATACGAGTACAATACCGTCAAATCTACGCAAAGAATATTTTTTATAAAGGAAATTTAGTAATGTATTTTGTTCTTTAATGAATTTCTTTTAAGGCTTAATATTAATGCAACTGATATTATGTAACGAGATAGCTAATATGCATAAATAAGCACGTCAAACTTTTAACCACATATTTAAAGGGTTTTAATAATCATCGCTTAATAAATAAAATTTTAAGAAAATAAAAAAATATTTTTTAAATAACGCGTCAGTGATTTTCTACATAAAAATAAAACGTTAAATAAAAGACAGTTATTGTAAACTAAACATAGAACTTATAAATAGTGTTATAAATATTTAAAATTTATGACGTATAACTAAATAGAAAAATAATTTTTATTATGACCTTTTTTTGCATATTCGTCTTTTTATATGTTTATATATATTTAATGTAAATGTAAACGGTTAAACAAGACATAAATGGGTTATTTAAAAATATTTTCTAATATTACGATTGGCTATCAACTTAGAATCATAAAATAATATAAGAACCTTTATAATAAAATGCGTTCAATTTTAAACACAACGTTGACTTTTCTTATTTTCAGTGTTCCATTGAATGAACAAAATAAACCAATTCTATGAAATTTTACTGTAATTTTAGGAAAGAAATCTCAAAGAACTGAACATCTACTCATGTATAACTGAAATATTTTATTTAATTCTTCTGTAATTCTTTAAAAGTAGCTAAATTCTATAAGAATGCTTTCAAAAATTCAAAATGGTTAATGTTGTAGGAATTAATTTAAATAAATTAAATTTTTAATATCCAAATATATGATTTTACTTATCCAATAAAGCAGAAAAAAAAATTTAATACAAACTTTAAAATAAAAAAAAATATTGTGTCTTATACTATCTGAATAAGTATTCAATCATCTGCTTCAATATTATTTGTTCAATCTATTTACCGAAAGTCAATAAAACGCCTTACCTATTAATAATAGCAATTATGAACTATCATGTTTTAAGTTCTAATTAGGATTAAAAGTTGTTCTTATAATGTTTGAAACAAATCGAAATGGCGAATCTTTGGAAATAATAAATTTTTGCTTCTGGTTTTCATTAAATGCTTAACTTATATTGAAAAGACATTTTCTGTACAATTTGAAGTTTTGGATAATGAATATGAAATCTTTGGACCACGGCCAGTTCTTCAATTTTTCCGTTCGATTTTAAAATCAAGACTTTTATAAATAAAATACTACAAGAAAACGAAATCAATTTTCACAATTGCATTAAAAAAAAAATATTTTTTTTTAAGAATAAAAATAATTTTAATTTAAAAAATTTAATTAAGAGAAAAAAAAAATTGAATTTAATTACCTTAACAATTCTTCTCTTCTTTTCAGCATCTTTTCCAGGCTTTTCTTCAGTTGTTCTCTTTTCTTCTGTTTTCTGTCGATCTATGATGAAAAAATTATCAAAGGTTAAAAATATATAAAAATAGCTAATAAAAATATTATATGTAAAAGGTCCTACAATTATCATGAAATATTTATGAAATATATGAATACTTGTACAATAATTTAATTAAAAAAAAAAATATTTTTTGCAAAAATTTAATAATTCAAATGTATATTCATAAACATAAAATCATACTATTGATTTCTTAACAATAAAAATATTCAATGAATTCAAATTAATAAGAAAAACAAAATCTTATTTTTAATTTGCTCGGAACAATCCACATTTTAAGTAATGAAATAAATCGAATTTCAAAAAAGTTGTGCATTTACAATTAAGTTGACAAAAAATGAATTATGTGTAAAAAGTATGGTACTTGAAGTGAAATTAATTTAAATTTAAATTTTTTGAATTCGAATTCATAATCCGACAATTAGATCACAGATGGCACACATATTATAAAAAATATTTTACTCTTGTTTTGCTCGTTTTAATATATATATATATATATATATATATATAAAAATTCAAACTAATTTTAAATAAAGTTGGGTCAAACCAATGGTTTGTAATGTAGCCCTATTTCCTTCAACAAGTGAAAATTCCGCTTTTAAAAGCAATATATGTACTACATTATTAAGATTAGTTTCATTCATATACAAAAATTGCATACATTTGGGATGAACACTACATAATAATTAATGAAAGATTTACCAAAACTATTGTTCTTTGTGAATTTGATTAGTTTAAATTATTCTCCAATTATTCATGTAATACAACTTTCGAGTAAAAAACTACTATACAATATTAATCACAAAAATGGAGAAAAAAATCTCCATTTCTGGAGATTGTATACAAATGTATTTCACCAATTTTTAATCTACCGTTGTTTGATTTCAATCGTGTACATACGTAGGATTACCCTTGGATATTATTTGGAAAATTGTAAATCAAAAAATTAAAAACTAAAATTCATGCTGAACTTACATTTCAATTCAATTTCTTCATCATCTAATAACAACGAGACAACTTCCTTTGGTTTTAATGTATCTGGTTTGAAATTTCCACCACTTATGACCATTCTTTGAATCTGAAAATAGAATTAAATAAAAATAATAAAACAAAGAAAGAAAAATATTAATAAACATCAAACATTTTATTCATAGAATTATGATAATTAAGGGAGAAATAGACTCCCTTTTCTCCATTTGAATATTAAAATATTTTCTTTTTCTGTTTACAGTATACCTAATAATACCATATAATATATCATATACATATGTTCTTATGTATGCATGTAAGAAGCACAAACATTTCATGTAAGTACATACATACTTGTATTTGAAAATTGCGCACACTAATAAAAATATTTTAATATTCAAAGAAATTCCAAAAGTATAAAAATTTGATTTAATATTTAAGTGATCGGGTTTTACTCAAACGGTGTAATTTAATAGCATATAGAATATGACTTTTCTTTTTGGAAACAAAAATGTAGAAAAAAAATATCATTAATTGGGCGCCATCAAGTAATTTTAATATTACGAATAAAAACAAAACAAAAATAAAAGCAAAATGTTTTTTTAAAAATTAATATTAAGGGTTATTACACATTACATATTACATACATACATACGTATTTTCGTTACGTATATAATTAATGTGTTTACATAATGCTATAAAAGCCGCGTATATTAAATTACTTAAAGATAAAAGTACAATATTTTATAATGTAAACAAAATTCAGTGCGGATTTTTAACAAAATTTTTAGCAAAACAGAAGTGTTACAATAATTGCAAATTGAACATTTTAGATTCAAGTTTTGCAAAAAAATTTTAAATTCTTAAAACACAAAAGTTAAAAGCAATAAAATTGTAGAGAAATATCATATGTAACATTAACATGCAAACTAAATCTTCAAATTTCAATAACATTATTTTCTTCACACAATTCGGCAATCGACAGTTAGGCGCAATCGATACAGAAGAATAAAATAATTCAATAACGCAAGTCTGAGGCATTTCCACAGTGAATTTGTGCAGTAATGGAGAAAAATAAATTAAATTTTCGAATTATGGAATACAAAATTATTATGTTTCTTAAATACATACATATGTATGTATTTGTATGCATGTAAGAATATAGAACTTAAATGTCAATGTCAAGTAATAGTTCAATGTATGTTGATTTCGCCGAAATTCAAAATTTCAAATTATAGTTCAACATTTCGACAAGAACAATATTAGTTCAAAAAAATATGCCTCGAGAAAAACCCCACATGTTGAAAATATTGTGGTTAAATACAATGTTTCAAATTCAAGTTCAATTTCATAATGTGAACGCATTACGTGAAAATTTAAATAATTCTAAAAGATTTTATTAAAATACAAAAACATAAAGACAAACAAACACTTTCTAAAATTTCATTTTTGTAAAGAAAAAACTAATTATATATGACGTATATAAGTGTGTACTTTAAAAGTGAACGAGTGCCGGTAAGCAAAAAATTCCGTCTACTATAAAACAAGTAAAAGTGTTGTCTTATAATAAGTATGTACGTGGTATTTTAAATTTGTCTTCATCGTGATATAAACAAGGTTTCGATCTGCGATCGACAATGAAAATTTGTTTTGATTTTTCTTATGCGCGGCATACAATGAGTAAAAAATATTTGATAGCTACATTAGAAAAAAAAATTAAATATTTTTGTAACTTTTTTTTTATTTTGATATTTTTCTAATTATAAATTTAGTTTTTAGAAATTACTTATGATTTAAACACAGAAGGGAAAAAATTGAATGTTTTTTTTTCTTAAAACAGCACGTGTCAAACATTAAATATGATTAGTAGAAATGAAATTCGAATCATTAATATTTCGGCTTGTAACAAAACAACTCATTAAATATCCAGCGAATGTAATAGTTTGTACAAAATACAACATTGAAAGCTAAGCAGAACTTAAAATATTTAATTATTTTTTTAATCATATTATATTTTTGAAGCATACTACAAATTTAAATTAACCAAGAATAATATACAGAAATTTTGCAATGAATGGATGGATAAAACTAGTTTGTTAAGTCATCATCTTGTTAGATATCAAGCTTTAGGTTGATTTTTCTTGAAAATTAAAATTTTGAAATAACCCGAAACTCCGAATTTTATGTACTACATTTGTAAAACTAAATTCATATAGTTTTTTTTAATGCCGCGCCAGAATTTTTAGAAAACACTTTGAAAATTTTCTTGAATTGACATTTTTAACACAAATAAATAAATTTATATGTTGCACGATTTCTTCAGGTCAGACTGGGACCTTAGGGGTACAAAATTTTTCGGCCCTATATCCGAAATTCGAACTTGCAACGAAACAAAAAAATTATTTCGAATATTCGACACAAAATTTTATTATAAGACTAAATCTGGTCTCATCTAAAATAAAAATATTAAGGTAATAATTAAACGAACGGTAACTCGCGTACTGTAAATATGTAACTAATTGTATGAATGCTGTTATTTGATTTTTTATAAATTATAACTAATAATTAAATATATTAATATTTAATAAAGGCGATTATCTTTACATACCTCACTCTTTTCACGAGCTCTTTGTAAAATTCTTTCTTCAATTGTTCCCTTGCAAATTAATCTATAAACTGTTACTTGTTTTGTTTGCCCTAAACGATGTGCCCGATCCATAGCCTGTTGATCAACTGTTGGATTCCAATCAGAATCATAGAATATAACCTGGAAATAAAATTGAATATTTATTTTTCATATTTATGTTTAATAACGATTTTTAAGGATGTTCTAATATTTACTAAGTTCTGATCAAACTACTTTGCAACAATTGAAAAATCTCCATAATTAGATTGAAAATGTTCAAAATTCTATTCATAAATTTTATATTAAAATTTTAATTTGAAAATTGATATACCATGAAAGCTGAGATTATTATTGTTGTTATAAAATTTTCTTTAAATTAGTTTTTTTTCCAAAGTGTAAAAGCGTAATAATTTCATTTTGAGCGGAAGTGATTTGTCTTCCTAAACATAAAAAAAACCCTATTTGTTTTTCATTTTTTAATTGTCGGCAATGAATCTATTAAAAATTTTTATTTATTGTAATTTTATATAAAGAAATTAAGAAAATTTTAATATTCTATGTGCATCCCTTCTATGTAAGTTTTTTTTTTTAAAAAGGCAGAAATTTTGATTCTTTAACAAAATTTGATGAACGGAAATAATCCTTAATTTTTTATTTTGTTTTTTATTTTCTTATTCACTAAAATAAGTGTTAAATTTTTATTCAATCCTTTAAACAAAACCAATATGATTCAAAAATGAATTAAACCCTTCTCATTTCTTATATTCATTGTTGATTTTTATTTGTTAAGCACATAATGCCATTAATAAAATTTGGTTCAATAAAAGTGGGGTAGTAAAAATAAATTGTTTTTTTTTTATGCCTCTTGCTCTTTTTTTTGGAATTTATATCCTTCACTAAGAAACATAACATAATGGTAATGTAACATAAAACTGTAAATGAACGAAAATAATGTTACGGAATATACTTAAAAATTAAAGTGCTTCCGAGATGCTAAAAATTATATAGAACTTCAAAATAATACACATATGTATATCTTATAAAAATATTTGTACTCCTTTTTTATACGCTCTATTTTGTTCTGGGACGTATCCTTAATATCTTATATTCACAAGACTTATAATTCTTCTTTATTATAATTACTAATTGAAGGTATTTTACTAATTAAACGGCAAGAAGGTATTTTAAATGAACGCAATAAATTGAATAAGAAATAATTAAATAGTAAATTTACTCCAAAACGTATAAAGCGGAATTTTTATTTATCAAATAGATTAACGCTTGCTTTTAAAGTTGAAATATTTCTTAATAAATCTTTTTTATTGAAGATTGCGGCAAGTGAATGGTCTTTGTTTTTACATACATTTTATTAATTGTAAGTAAAAAAGGATATGGTTTCGTAGTTTTTATTTTTTTTTTTCTTTTTAATTTTGAAGACGATTTCAATTTTAACAGCGACAAGCGGATAATTAAAAGCACGATATTTTTATAAATCTGTTAACCGCAATTAAAAAATTTATAAAATAAGGCACGTTCCTAGAGAGGAAAATGTACTTTAAGATTTTTATATTTAAAGGATGATAAATATACAGGATATAAATATCACAATGACAATTTTCTTAAAATTATAATAGTGAACAGTTCGAAAAAAAGAGCATAAACGTTAGTTTATCTTAATACATATTTAATAACAAGAAAAAAATTTTTTTAACAGGAACTTTGCTATGATCAAGCGCTTTTGTGAAATTTTACATGATTAAAATAAAAAAATATTATTAAATTGAATTATTCATTGAATTATTTTCTTTGATTGTTCAGTTCAAAATTAATGAATTCCTGACAAATTTTTCTTGATTTTGGAAAAGTTTTTCATTTACGTCGCAGATGCATCTTATATGTACTCGTATTTCCATTGTAGCATTATTCATAAAGTATCCTAAACGACATACACAGAATAAAGACAAATGTTATAATTAGAATGAATAATAATTAGCAAAAGGATTCAACGCATGTTTTACTCCCGTTCGTCATCGTTATCCTCGTTTTTTTATTGTATGCAAATTTTCAACAGACTTGAATTTCGAAAAACTTTTCCAAAATTAAGAAAAATTTCAACTAATATACTTAAATAAACCAAACCATATTGTATGTTAAAAACAAAATAAAATAAAACGAAGTGCGCAATATTTTAAAATAATAAATAATCTCATATATTGTATGTTAAGTTTACCCATAAAACTATTAAATACACCAGGCCACTATAATTTAATTAGCGAAAACAAATTGCAAAAGAATGTCATCTATAAAACAGAAATAAATTTGTAACACCACAAAGAATAACAAGAACAAATCTATTATTCTGTATTAGTGTTTTATGCCCAGAAGTATAACCGTTTTTATGCTCGTAAATTTTTAGAGGAGATTTTTGCATAAAAACTCTAAAATTTTCTCCATTATTCATTAAGTTTCCTTTCGGAATTTTTTTTTTCTTATTTTACTTTTTGTAGTATAATAAATTAATTAATGGCGCTGTTATTTTTTCCACAACAAATAATCGTCACTACAACAAGGATGAATAAAAACAAACTTTCTTAAATTAATAGTTTTAAGTTTTTTTTCTGTATGTGTGTATGGGTGTGTAATAAGTTATTAACAAAAATTTATTGTTCTACATGGATTTATTGTTGTAATTTTAACTACCAAACATTTTATACTGTAGTCACTAATAATATAACAATATGTTCAACCCATAACGCATGGAAAGACATGTACAGGGTCTTTCTTAATGAAATATTACTGAAATATAAGACAAGGTTTAATGTGGAAATTAAAATCTGACCTATATGTAAGTAAAAGCAAATACATACGATACAAGCTACATAATTCTGATAAAATTTTTTAAAATTTTCAATTTAAATTATTCTTTTACTACTCTAAAATTTTGTATTTTTGCATACTTTCAGGAGGAGAACAAAAATAAAAGAGGCATTACAATCATAAATTTGGTTGTTACCTTATAAGATTATTTCAAATTATCAAATTATATTTTTTAATACGAAAAAAATTTCACGTTACCTCTGACTTTTGCCGAAATTTCATAAAACTTATGTTTTCATTGAAAACAGTTGCAGAAGATTGACATTTTTTAGAATTTAACCGAAATGAGAAAAGGAGAAAAATATTTTATTTCCTTGAACTACAAAATCTTAATTTAGAAAATTATCAGATTCATGTCACTTTCTTCTTTTTCAAATATCTTGTAAAAAAATTGTGTTTTGAAGAAATCTACATCTTTTTGCTTATGCTATATTTGATAATACAATATTTTGCATAACACTGAAGTTTCTCGCGTTTTTTTGTGATATACAGTATATTTCGATTTATATTGAAGCACACTGTATATAAAATACATCAAAAATGATTAACATAAAATTCGGATATTTTAAAAGAAAATAATTAATAAACAAACAATTGAATTTGTATATAGTGTTGCTTAAAATTTTAATTTAAATAACGCGAACTTTGATTTTCTTATTTCGTTTTTGTTTAACCCTTTTGATAAAAAAAAAAACTTTAATAATTAAAAATATCGGTCTTGATGAAAGTTTGTTGTACTCTTATATAATCAGTAAAAAATCTTATCTCTTCATTATCGTTTTGTATAAGACTCTCAACGGGTTTCCTCTTTTATAAATCATTCTGGGATACTAGATTCTGGGATGCTTTAAAAACATGCATATATTATACGGCGCTGTTACATAACTATAGACCGCGTGAATCGAACTCATTTTAGTGCTTTAAATTTTAAGTATGGGAGTGTTATACATATATATTTAAGATTTATACAGTAAATATATCAAATGAAATATATTTTTTTATTTCGAGTATATTATGAATGCTCTTTTTAATTTTGCAGGAAAACATTTCACATTTTTTTGTTTTTTTCTTGTTAATTTAAACATTTGCATTTCTCAACTAAATATTTCAACATCCAATGAAATCTAAAGAGATGACTACAAAATAATTCATCATTGTCAATTTAAGAATGTTCTCAGATTTGTTGGGTTCGTATCATTGTGTCTCTGTTCCTTTTTTCTATATTATGACAAAAAACAAACAAACAAATATAAAAAAAGTATCTTGTCTTTTTTCATGCTCTCATCAGTATTTGCTTTTAGTTTGTAGTGTTAAAGACAAATAAAAGACCTTCATCTTGTTCCAATTTCCCTTACTTATAAGTTTAAAAAATTTTTTGCTAGTTTTTTTTTTTTGCTTTACTCCGTTCTTTATCTCTGATTGAATGTGATATGTCCAACTTTGTTGAAAAAAAAACAAAAATTTCCCGAAAAAGGTAATAAAAATGGAATTCAAATCTTAATTTTTTTATGAAATTTATTATTATACATAAATACAATCACAAATACTTATATACATATATAAGCACAATTATTTATCTTAAGTGATTTAGGAGTGCAAAATATTCACTCTAGAATATGAACTGGTTCCCAAAAAAAAAACAAAGAAATGAAACCAAACTGAAGATATGAAATCTGTTCTTTTTTAACTCATTTTTAATTTGAAAATTCATTGGAGAGAAATTTGATTTTCCCGTAAAAATATTTTTGTAAAATAAAAGTTGTACAAATTTTGTATAACAATACAGTTTCACCGTTTACTATTCAATTAAAAATTTAATACTCTATAAGATTTTTCTGGGCAAAATTTGTGCAGAAATTTACACAAAATCAATTTTTGATAAAAAATTTTGGGTTCGCCCTAAGCGAAGCCGGCATCGATAAAATAGTGAATCCAACTCGAAACAAAATTTTATTTATTAAATTGTGCTTTGCAACAGATTACAACGTTTTCAAAAACCTATTCTTAGGATATTTGTTTTTGCCTTACTCCTGTAACTTTACTTATAGTTCTGAATCCAATCATTCAATATGATAAATTTTTTTTTAGTATACGAGTATTTCAAAAAAAAAATAAATAAAGATGAGAATTTTATATTTTTCAACTCATCTTTTCGTATATTCAATTTCACAATTCATTCATTTTGTTTATTTTTTAAAGATGCACATATCAACTGACAACTTGTCAGGAAAGATTTTATCAATAAAATGGTAACACAAGAGTCC